GCAGCAGCAGCAGCAGCAGCGGCAGCGGCAGCGGCAGCATAGTTCAGCAGCAAACCCAGCAGCAGTTGGAGGAGAAAAGCGAAGTTGCCGACGCCTACGCTGTCACCGACCTCTGAGCTCCCCAGGTCTTTGGAGGTCTTTGCTGGAGGTATCTGAAGGTCTCCAGACAGGCCCATAAAGGGTCATGACGTATAAACAGCTGGACCTTCGATTCTCGATCCCCGATCCTCGACGGACCAGAACGTACCCCATGGTGCGTTTGTTTGACCTGGAAGGCCTCGAGGGGAGTCCAGCCGTGGCCACAAGGAGCCAGAGGCCTCAAAACGGCCTAGCGGCGTCCACTGGCCTCGATCCTCGAACCTCGATCCTCTGCAGCCAGGATTTTGGAATCAGGACCAAATTTGGTTCGGAAGAGGCTTGCAGTTTCTTGGGTCATTCCGTGATCGTTCCTCTGGCCCTCCTCGTGCATTCAGGCTCATCTGGTGACAAGAAAGAAGCTTCGTTCATCGTCGCAGGCGATTTCAATCCCCCATCCCCCAATCCCCCAATCCCCAATCCCGCTCAGAAAAAGGGGGGAACTCTGGGATACACCTCAAGGGGGCTATTCGGACGCACGCCCATCGAGAATGGACGCCCCCCCCATCGTCTGTGTCCCAGGGCTGGGCCCAACATTTCTGGTCCGTTCGGAAGCCCCACGAAGCTTGGGATGGGGGTCGACGTATCCCCTGCTATACCGTTCCTCATTGCAGCAGCTTGGCTGTGTGGCGGCCCCCCCCCCAGTTACGTAGGTGCACTCGCCTGAGCCGGGCACCGCCTCTCGAGGCGTTGGGCGCCGCCGCGCGGTGCCACGACCGCTCAGCGCGCGCTTCGAGCAAGCAATAACTTCACTGCAGTACGCACGCGCGATCCTCGAGGCCCGACGGCCTCGGCCCCTCGAGCGACCGACGGCGCGCCGGGGCGCAGCGGCGCGCCCAGGGCTGGCCGTTCAAGAAGCCGCCCTGCCGGGGGTGCGCCTGCATCGCGCGAGGCGCGCGGCCCTCCCGCTGTGACCCCCGCCTCCCCCCCACAAGGTCGAACAGCAAATGGAACCAGTCAAGAACTCGGTATCGTTGTGCAGGCCGCGGGCAGATGCTGCTTCGGTATTCAATTCGATTCCCTTTTTGGCTGAATCTTTAGTGTGGAGTGGTCTCTCGATGCGCTGTTCACGGCAGTCTTGGAGGATGGAACACAGAGCGGGTAGTGGGCAGGTCGGATGTGTTGCCGACGCGTTGTCCGTAGTTGAAAGAAGGAACGAAGAATTCGGTATCGTTTAACCGATCCCCATCCCCATCCCCGTCCCCATCCAGACCCCCAGCATCCTTGCACCCCAGTTGGGGACAGACGCGCCTCGAAAACCGAAGGGGGCGGCCTATGTCCCCATCTGGGGGGGCGATCGGCCATTGGGGCCCAGGCCAGGTTCATGGGGATAGGGGTCGGTTAAACGATGCCCAAGAATCGTCCCTTGCACCCCCCCGTCCGCCTCAGGAAGAGTTGAGAGCCGCGGCGCAGCGTTCTGGCCTGCCTATTGTAGGCCCACCAGAGGATGTTCCAACAACCCTTTTTGTTGTGGTCTGCAAGAAATGCTCTCAGAACATTTCTGGCTGGGATGGTCCTTTTTTGACGCGTCGGATCTATGCTATAAAAACATTTTTGTTCCTAAAGCGTTGTTGGGTTCTGATAACGCTCGTTGGTAGGCCTATAGATATGCCTGGACGGCCCTTCCCTGCTCAAAAGAAGGAGGGGAGGGCGGGGGGGCAGGTCGGGCGGGTGGCAATGGGGGGTGAGTTCAATTGCTGCGTAGTCTCGCCACGGGGAAGCGCGTCCTGAGGGACACGGGTCCTGAGTTTTTCTCGGTTTTTGGCTTCCCGGGGCCTCCACGGGCCATGGGATTGTCAGAAAATGATTGGGTAAGGAGCTGGACCCTGGGGGGGGAAGGGAAGGCCCCAGGGTCCAGGACCCGTTTCCTTCAGGACCGGTTTCTCCCCATCCAAGGTCACCGCTCTCCCGCAGGCCACGGTGTGCTGCACGAGCTCGCCTATCGCAGGTCGGTCTGTGCCATTTTCCTGTTCCGCTCGGTTCGACTAGACGTCAAAGTGATCTTTCGCCGGAGTGACATTTGGTGCGGGCACAGATGGGTCTTCAGATGGCTAAAAACGAAGCGGTAGCAGCGGCTTGCGCGCCCAGGTTTGGTCTCCCCGCGGCCCCCAAAAAGCCGCGCACCAAAGGTCACTCTTACCCAGGGTCACTCTTGCGTGTAGCCGATCGGCGGCCTTTCGTTCCGAGTTGTAGCTGCGGAGTCGCCGAGCCGAGCTCAAACAAAGGAGGGAGAGGGCGCGCCCTCCCCTGGTTTTTTCATTGCCAGGGTGAGCTTCCTGCAAAGTTGGGTCTGCGGAGGCTGCGTCTGGGCCCTGGGGCTGTCAAGACGCTGCCCAGGATGCGGATTACGTCCCGGGGAAGTGGGTCCAGACAGTCGAGAGGCCAGGGGGCCATCGGCTCGGAACTCTGCGTCGTCGCAAGTCTGGCCAAGATGGGGGAGACGAGGAGCGGAATGGCCGGTGACCGTGGGACAGGAAGGAGCAGGAGGAGGACGGGAAAAAGGAGGCAGACGAGAAGCATGAGGGGCATGCTGCCGCCGATTATGCTGCTGATGAGATGTTGGTGTTGGCGTTGATGTTGATGGTGATGCTGCTGCTGCTGCTGAGTGCTGATGCCTATCATGAGCATGACAATGATGGCAGTTATGGTGATGCCGATGATGATGATGCGGATGGTGATGCTGATGATAACGATGATGCTACTGCTGCTGATGATCATGAGGATGATGGCGATCACCATGGTGCTTGTAATGCTGATGGTGATGGTGATAAGTATCTTGTTCTTACCGTCAGCTGTCCCGTGAGGCATGTCGATGGCCATGATGTTGCTAATGCTGTTTTTTTGTGATGATGGTGATGGTGATGGTGACAATGATGATGGTGATGATGCTGATGCTGATGCTGATGCGGATGATGCTGGTGGGCGAAAATGGTGATGCTGCTGATGATGATGCTGATGTTGGTGTTGTTGATGACGATGATGATGCTCATGGTGATGATGATACTGATTATGATGACGATCCTGGTGATAAGAATGATGATGATTCCGGTAATACTGATGATGATGATGATGATGATGATGATGATGGTTGGGATGCTGATGCTCATGATGATGATGCTGATGAAGTTGGTGACGCCGATGATGACGAGGATGAGGATGATGAGGAGGACGTCGACGACGACGCCGCCGATGATGATGCTGATGATGATCATGATTATGCTGATGATGCTTCTGCTAGTGATGATGACGATGTTGATGATGATGATGCTGATGCTGACGATGTTGATGATGCTGCTGCTGCTGATGATGGTGATGATGCTGATGTTGACGCTGATAATGATACCCATGCTGACTCTGATGATGATGATGGTGCTGATGATGGTGCTAATGAGGATGATGCTGAAATTGATGATGATGATGATGCTGCTGATGAGGATGAGGATGAGGATGATGATGTTGACGCTGACGCTCATGATGATGATGCTGCTGATGATGATGATGATGATGGCGCTGATGATGATGCTGATGATGATGATGCTGAAATTGATGTTGATGATGCTACTGCTGAGGATGATGATTAAGCTGATCTGACGAGGATGATGATGCTGGATTTGATCATGATGAGCATGCGGATGAGGATGATGAGGACGGTGTTGATGATGCAGATGCTGATGAGGATGATGCTGAATACGGCGATGATGATGGTGATGTTGGTGAGTACGATGATGATGAGCTGATGATAATGGTGATGATGATGATTGTGGTGATAGCGGTGATGATGATGATGCTGACGATGATGATGCTGACGACGATGATGATGGTGCTGATGATGGTGGAGATGATGATGATGCTAATGCTGTTGATGATGATGCTGATGATGATGCTGACGATGATAATAATGATGCTGCTGATGATGCTGATGATGATAATACTGATGGTGATGGTGGTGATGATGATTTCGATGGTGATGATGTCGAGATGCTGCTGCTGATGATGATGATGACGATGATGATGCTGACGATGCTGATGAGGATGATGATGATGATGATGATGACGATGACGATGATGATGATGATGAGGATGATGATGAGGATGATGATGAGGATGAGGATGAGGACGAGGATGATGATGATGATGATGATGATGATGATGATGATGATGATGATGATGATGATGATTATGATGATGCTGATGATGATGATGATGATGATGCTGATGATGATGATGATGATGATGATGATGATGATGATGATGACAATGATGGTATCTGGAACGGGGTGATCATAGGGGGAGCCTCCCCGAGGGCCGACGTGTCACGAAAACTCCAAACGTCTCGATCGTCGGCTTTGCCCCATCTTCCCTGCCAGGCAGGAGCAAGCGGCACGTCTGCCCTGGCTGTGGCACGATGGGGGCGGCAACAGTGACAGGAACAGCAAGGAGGGAGGAGGATGGGGAGTCTCTCGGGGCCATCCCGTGGCCTTTTCGGGGCCACTATGGGGACAGGGGTAATTCTTGACGCTTCGCGTATCCCCACCAGTGTGTGGCTCTGTGCGCCCGTCGGCTGCTTTCTCCTGCAAGGACTTCGCTTTCGATATGTGCCACTGCTGTGCTGTACAAACAAGAGGTACTGCCGTTCGCAGTCCTATCTGTGACGAGGTTGCCCTTCTTCACTCTTGCGCTGACACGATGCAGTTGTGTCGCCTACGGCACGGACGTCGTCCGGGTGTGCCTGTCGGTCCTGCTCGTCTATGACGGTGCCTTGTGCCGACTCACACCGAGTGATTGACCTCTGCGTGTTTATGGTCGCGCCGCCGCGCCATTTTGGCTGCGCTTACTTGCTGGTCGCCACCGGGATCTCCACGCCA